TCACGCGGGGCGGGGGGGGGATGAACCCGCTTGATTTAAATAAAAATTACGAGGGGCTGACTCCGCATACCGCCTTCGACCAGTTTCAAAAATGCTTTAAAAGAAGCGTTAAATCGGTTTAATAGATCGCGGTTGTGAGGAAAAGATACATACGAGTAGTTTCCGAGAGAAAAAAAATAGAGCGAAAAGTAAGTGGTTGCTGGGTGTTATTATCAAGAACCTTGTGCTACTACGTTGAAAAACCCCATACGCACAGATCTCTTTGACATTCGATCCTAAGGTTGAGCGAATTTTTAATACTTCATCCCCATCACAATAATTGATCTGTTGCACGCAAGAGATACAGCCTACAATAAATGTACTGCATTTTGCAATTTGGAACTATAAATTCTGGCTTTTCTAGAAAAACACTTATATGCAAAGGAAAACTAATGGCACATATGTCGTTTTTAAACCGGGCTAGAAATTATAGTTCCAAATGGGCCTGTTGCATGCAAGAGATGCAGCCGTGCGAATAGACTTTTAAGAGGTTAAATGACACGAAAATTACGATGGTCACATTAAAAAAGTCTGAAATTCACTCCTTACTGCGCAATTTGCGTTGTTAGGAACGCGCTTTTTCAAATTTCCCGCGTCTGAGAGCAGTTTCCTAACGGAAACAATTAACTGCAACTTGCGGCTATTTCCGGTCAACTAAAACTGACAACATAACCTAAAAATCGGAGCTCGTGATTTCGTGAAATGAAATGTAGAAGGATTCCAATGGATATTTAAAAGTTGATCGATTTGGTTACCGCATAAAGCGTATATGGACCACTCTAAGAGATCACGTTGGGTTTGTAAACAAACTGAAGGAAAAAATAACAACAACAACAATGACTCGGCATCTTCCGGAAATCACTGAGCCCGCCGTTTGCTCGTTTCCGGTGATTAGAAAACTGCCCCCAGACGCGGGAAATTTGAAAAAGCGCGTTCCTAGCATCGCAAATTGCGCAGTAAGGAGTGTATTTCAGACTTTTTTAATGTGACCATCGTAATTTTCGTGTCATTTAACCTCCAAAAAGTCTATTCGCGCGGCTGTATCTCTTGCATGCAACAGGCCCATTGCAAAATGTAGTCTGAAAATCCTCTATACGGGTGAAATCGCACGAAAATCACATGCGGCCCATCAAAATAGGCAGAGATCCACTACTCAACGGGTAATATGCCTGGTTAATGACAAGCTTTATTTAAGTTCCCGCTTTTGCGGGCAATTGGACTACATTTTGCAATTTGGAACTATAAATTCTGGCTCTTCTGGAAAAACACTTATGTGCATAATGAAACTAATGGCACATACGTTGTTTTTAAACCGGGCTAGAATTTATTGTTCCAAATTGCAAAATGTAGTCCAATTTTTCTCAGTCACCATCGATCAGGTTGAGGTTTGCACATACAGAGGAGTAATAGAGTAAACTAACCGGAGTAAGCAAACGACTAACTAACTTTTTTTATTGTATGATTTCAATCGATTTCAAGCGCTTGTTTCCTTTTCTTTCTTTTTTATTCATAAGTCGAAGCTTTGAATCGCAATTGGAATCTTTTTTTATTATTATTATTTATTGAAAATAGATGACTACAATAAAGTATTAATCCTAATTATTTTAACCTGTTCTATTTACAATAGTTTAGTGGGTGGGTTGGAGGACCGCGACCCTGGCTGTATTTACAAAATTTACAGGTACTGTATACTATGATTAATTTATACATTGAACAAAGATTATAATTTAATATTGGGTATACAAATAAAGTATTTACAATTGGAATCTTACGCAAGGAGAGTTTATAACAGTTCTCGAGATTTTAAGTTTATTTAGGCTAGATATCTTTCCGGGCAAACTTGACTGCTGACCATCGAGGAGAACTGCCCGCAGACGCGGTAAATTTGAAAAATCGTGCTGTGAACAACCTACGCAAACTGCGTGCTAAGGAGTTATTCAGACTTTTTTGATGTGCCCAACTTGATTTTTGAGCGAACTTACTCCTTAAAATTATGTTCAGTTTGCTGTATCGTTTGCGTGGAACGGACCCATTGAGCAAGTCTGAGGAAAAATTTTGAATATGTGGACTTCGTACCAAGCTTTAAGGCGAAAAAAAAGTTCTTCAAATAGGCTCTTTAGACTGCGTTATTGCTCAGCTTATAGAAACGTAAGGGTATCATGCAGTGGGCGTGGCGCGTTTTGCGATACATCGATTGATCTGTCATTTAAACCTACGGAAAATAATCGATAAACAGGGTGTTCGCAACGAACACCTTAATAATCGATTCTTTACCATGGCCTCAAATGGGGAATTAGGTATCTATAATCGATCATTCTCGCCTCGCCACTGGTGCCATGAAGCTGAGAGAAAAAGGACGTATTTGTATCAAACGGAACTGTGTGCATTAAGACATGAACCCTGCGACCCATAAGAATAAATGCATAACAGGGCTCACGTCATAATGCACGTAATTCCGTTTGATAGAAATGTGTCCAAATAAATGTTGGAAAAAATAAGCATAGTTACACGGTTTCATCATCAAAAATCTAGTTGTATCACCAACTACCAAAATATTCATTATTCATTGCCCTCTTTGATATTCAACTCGGAGGTAAGAAAATTGCGGCTACTTTATCCCGACAACAAGTAATAAAGAAAACTGCAAAATAGGAAGGTTTCGATATCCGTCGATAGCGCTAAATTAAAATTTGAAAAAAAATCCTTATTGACGAATCGTTATTAGCCTTGATCGACAAATGGCACTACCAATGTCGGCATTTTATCGATCAAACCAATGGCGATGCGTGAATGATCGATTACCTATCGGTATTTCCCTATTTGAAGCTATGGTAAATGATCGATTATTAAGTTGTTCGTTGCGAACCACCTGTTTATCGATCCTTTTCCATGGGTTATCAGGGTTGCCACAGTCAGTGAATATCGAGAAAACCGGGAAATGTCAGGGAATTTTAAAAATTCAGGGAAAAAACGAAAATGTGAGGTGAAAATGATCAAATTACCTACATTTGGACAATTACCTGCGCCGGAAAATGTGGTCGGATCATGTTGAGAGGATGGACAGGGAAAGGCTTGCCAAGATTTGTATGGTAGGACGACCTCATAGCCAAAAGGCAACCCGGACAACCGCATAAGAGATGGGCACAGAGCTGCCTTTCATCCCCGGAGTATTAAGTGATCTCTCTCATCGCCATCATATTTTATTTATCATATTTATATACTAATTTAGAGGCTAGACAAACAGGGTCACAGCCCTAGTCAGAAGTTAGAAGAATAAGAAGAAGAAGAAGAAGACCTACATTTGCTTTTTGGAATGGGTTTGACGTTTCGAACAACACATTTTATCTGAAAACAATTTCTATTTTTTTCTTTTTAACCATCTGGCATAGCTTCGATTGTCAGGGATTTTCACCAAAGTGTGTCCGGAAAATCAGGGAATCTCGTTTTCTAAATTCCGTGGCAACTTTGGTTGGAATGACAGATCAATCGGTATACCGCACAGCACGCCACGCCACTGGATCGAACCCAATCGATAACGATTCGACACTCGATCAGCGGGTCGAATGACCTAGATCGATAAAAAGCATCGTGCAGATGGGGATTTATCGATCGAGTTCATTCGATAACGATTCAACAATCGACCTGCTGCGGGCCGATTATTGAAACTGATAGACAAAGCGATAGACAAAGAAGACATAGGGAGTATAGAGCGATCCTATTGGTTGACATGGTTGATTCTTATAGACTAAGGAAGAAAATGATGGACTAGCTGTCGGGTCTTTGAATGGGTAGCCGTTAGTTAGTCCATTACCTACCTCCTATGTCCATTGCCACCATTCGCTTCCACCAATAGGATCCCTTCATATCCCTTTTGTCTTCTTTGTCTATAGCTCTGTCTATCGATTTCAATAGTCGGCCCGCTGGTTGGGCTAGAGGATACGGACGCGGAGCCTTCACGCTTTAGCGTGAGCAGAGGACGAAAATGCAATTTAAGAAATGACTAACCTCCGCCTCAATCTTAATTATCCATGATTGAAGTCAAGTAAAAAAGTGCATAACACGGCATGAACACCTGCACATGCCGGCGGAACAGTGGCGTGGCGTGCTTTGCGATATATCGATTGTTATACCATTTTAACCTATGGAAAAGGATCGATTAACAGGGTGTTCGCAGCGAACATCTCAATAATCGATTCTTTACCATAGGTTTAAATGGCATAACAATCGATATATCGCAATTCACGCCACGCCACTGCGGCGGAACCTTTTCCGACTTCTCGGCGGCCCTCCCTCCCGAATTTGTGTTGGAGCTGTTGTGCCTCATCGACCGTTATCCGGTTACATCGTATCGTTATCCTGATTATTTTGTGTCCGAATATTAAAGTTTCTCAACTTCCGAAGACCAAATTTTGGCCAGAATCTAGCCATCTAGGAGCACACTGGCGCGCCTTATTTCAGCTGTGCGATGTGTCGAGTTTGGAGCCTCATTTTGATGATATGCATCGTCTATCAAATCAACCAAACGGGTGAGTCGTGTTCGTATACATTATTCATGTTTACATCATCATGTTTCATTTTTCGTCTTTCTGGAAGAAGGACGAAAAATTGTTAGGTGACAAGTGTTAGTTTGTTGACAAATCATCGATGTTTTACCTTCTGATGATAAATGAAGTGGGAAGATCGAGTAATGGTCGAAGAACTCTCCTAACTTTTCTCGGGAAAAATATTTGATTGGGAAAAATGAGGCAACGTTGGAATATTCATACGGCGTCGAAACACAACATGGGCCTTTCAAGCTCTATTATTCGATGCCGCGATTATTCTAACGCGGGTTCGAATAATCGCGCCAAACAGAGTGCGACCAGCGTTAAAAGTTTATTAGCGCCTACAAGACTTTAAGAATACTTCACGCATTGCGCCAAATAGTGCTGTCGGCGTGCAGCCCATATTAGCGCCTACAAGACTGCATGAATACGTCTCGCATTGCGCCAAACGCAGTGCAGTCTGTCAGTTAGCGTGAAACAAATATTAGCACCTACAAGACTGTAGGGATGCTGTAGGACTGTGAATCATCATTCTTGACTTTCTGCTTCAGTTTTCATCATAATTAAATGGAAAAATGGTATCCTCTTTGTAACGATTCAGAAACTCTGATGATTTTTTTTTGGTTCCATTAATAGAAAATAGAACGAACTAAAATATCGCGTCGAAAGTTTCGATACTTTTATTTGAGATCATTTAGGGAAATTCGCGGGAACTTTTCAGAAAAACTGTGCGTAGCTTTTTAAAAACACGTATTAAAGATAAAACGTAAAAGTGATGCATAACGTTGCAATCAGAGATAAATATACGCTTTCTTTCAGGTGCACTCTGCACCCGTCGGGTTTTGAATCCCTATATCTCTTAGAAAACTTGAACATGGTTGCTCTACGATTTTTTACGAGTAGTTTTTTTCAGTGGTTGGGGCCACGCGGCCGTAGGCCCCTGTTCATACTTTACACAGGCCACTGTTCACTTTTTAAATGTCTATGAAAGCTCTCTAGGCCATTCGTGTTGTGAAGGCTGTCCATCGAAGAGAGACATGCTCGTAAGTGAGGAGGGAATGAACAGTCTTCCGCGATGTAGTTTCCTTTGATTCGGAAAGATTTGACCTTGGTAGTTTGTGGTAACAAACTACCAAGGTTGCCAGATTAACGCTTCTTCGTTGAATATTGATAATGGACCACTAGACAAGGTACGAATTTCAGCATTCTGATTCATGGGCCTTCACCAAAATTTCATGTAAAACACGATGCGCACAACGAAAATTACCGAAATCAACTCCTTGCGAAGATATTTAATGATTCCTGGTGCGTGAATTCAAACCACCCGCTCATGAAAACTCAATGCTCCACGTGATTCACATCGCGCGCTAAACGTTATCATGACACTCGCTACGATATAAAAATCTGGCAACCTCAATCTGGACGCTTTGGCTCAGCTATAGCAAATTGCTTATAGTTTGAACACCACATGGTGGGAAATGAACATTGTTGGATTGAGAAGCTTGCTGAAACCGTCGCAGTGTGTGATTTGACTCACGTAGAGCTTTGAGTTTCTTGTGAGCGGGCAGTTCAAATTCCTTGTAACCAATGTGGAATAAAAACGTTAAAATCTTCGTTAGGAGTTAGTTTCAGTGATATTTGTTGCGCTAATCGTGTTCAACGTGAAATTTCGGTCAAGAAACATGTATCAGAATGCTTAAATTTGTACCTTGTCTAGTGGTCCACTTGTGCAAACATGTGAGATTTCAGAACCAGAATAATTCGCGCAATTCTATCGCAGCCAGATGATCTATCTAACAGCAACTCACAAGAGACGCTTTAGTTGTTCCTTTCGTCTTCAACAAACACCCGTTTCAACCAACTAGATCGTTCCATTTTCCATTTTCCTTCTTTGTCTATCACTTCGTCTATCGATTTCTATAATCAGCTCACAAGTTTCATGAGGCTGAGTAACATAGCGTGCTCTTCTCTATCCTTTGAAGATTTAAGCAAGACTGACTGTAAGCCCGATTTTCACTCCCTCTCAGGTGCACCGCATACTCATACCAACGGAGGCTCTAGTGAAATATCACATCATGGACAGGAAGGACAGCCAAGCAAGCCCACAACCTCAACTTCAAGACATCCAGATCTTGGGAGGCCAGGAGGAGAGCCATCAAGAGAAACCACAAAGCACTCATCGAAACCAAGGAAAAAGCCAACGACGGAACGTTCGTTACCTATCGCATCTACTTTCATGCTTACGAGAACCGAATGAAAATTCTCTTCGCTCTGCTTATTGAAAAAAATTAAGTCCATCTTCACAAATGTTGAGAGGAAGCAGGGATTTTTTTGCGAGCACTGAAAAAAAAGAAGCTTGGATCAAGTATTATAATTCTTGAATTTGCCGCCAAGAATTGTCTTTATCTTGCTTTAAGCTGAATCTCTCTTGATTCAAGAAAAATGGACCGCGTTTAACAGAAAGGAACCAAGCCACATCAGCTATTGCCAAATTTAACGCGGCAGTTTAATTGTCTACAAGAGAACGTTTGAGCGGATTCCTTTGAAAATTTTAGGGAATTTGCTTAGTACTATGCAGAAAATCCACTGAAATTTGCACAAAAATCCGCACAACCGTCCTCATGTGCAAAATTAAATTGTCCAATTAAATTTGGCAATAGCTGATGTGGCTTGGTTCCTTTCTGTTTAACGCGGTCCAAATAATGCTTGGGTCAAGCAAAAAAGTAGCTTATATTAACCAGCAAAATTCTTGATTTAAAAAGAAATACTCCTTGGCGGCAAATTTAAGATTCTTTTTTTTCCAGTGAGGGGCACGAAAAAAGTACCTCGTCAAGCAGTGGCGTGCCGTACATGATTGCGATAAATCGATTGATCCGCCATTCAAACCTACGGAAAAGGATCGATAAACATCGTGTTCGCGACGAACACCTTAATGATCGATTCCTTACCATAGGTTCGAACAAGGAGCTTTCGAAATTCGATCATTAATGCCTCGCCACTGTTCGAAATTTCTCTCTCGCTCCGCCTCGGGGCTTCTCTGCCATGATAGCGAAAAAAAAAATCACAGCACTGAAAAAAAAATCTTGGTGTATTTACTAAGAAAAGGTTAAAATTACCAAGAATTCAGGGTTCTATTTGATCCCAGTTTTTTCTTGGTAAAATTACTATTTATGGAATTGGTAATTTTACCGAGAAATCTCGGTAAAATTATTGAACTTTCTCGGTAATTTTACTGGACCGTGGTAAAAACGCCAATATTTTTTTTTGACTGTGGTAGAATTACCGAGATAAAATGGCAAAGTTACCGGGAATTGATTACCAATAAAAGTGGTATTCTTACCTGAAAAAAAACAGTAAAAATACCGGTTTTTAGGTAAGCTTACCAGTCTGTCTTGGTAAAATTACCAAAAATTGGTAAACAAAAGTGAGATGGTAAAGGTACCAACGGACCTTGGTAAAAACGCCGAGAATTTTTTTTCGGTGAGGAAGTGTCAAATTTTTGAAATCGAGTTTCCTTCAAAATTCGTCCAATCTCTTTTTGATGAAATCACTAAAATAGCTAAAACAGCAAAATTCGTCTCAATCGCATGGAAACGAGACTTATGAAAAAGGCCGTTCGCAAAAAATGACGTAGTTTCAGGCAAAACAGCCGTAAGCGACATTATTTCTCGAGAGAGCCAATGAAAAAAGTAATTTCAAGTAAAATGCCGCCCTTTTCTGCCAATCTAACCTGAAATGTGTTTGTTTTGTGTCCAAAACGCAACGACGAAAACACGCAGGCTAGCGCTTACGGCTGTCTCACCTAACACTAGCCTTTGACGTGAAGATGAAAAATACCCTTTTTATGTAATGGACCACTGGACAAGGTAGGAATTTAAGCAATCTGATTCATGTTACTGAACCAGAATTTCACGTAGAGCACAATTCGCGCAACGAATATTACTGAAACCAACTCCCAACAAAGATTTTAACGTTTTTCTTTTACATTGGTTACGAGGAATTTGAACTGCCCGCTCACAAGAAACTCAAAGCTCTACGTGAGTCAAATCGCGCATCGTACCGGTTTCAGCAAGCTCCTCAATCGAGCAATGTTCATTTCCCACCATGTGCTGTTCAAACTATAAGCTGTTTGTAATAGCTGAGCTAAAGCGTCAAGATTGAGGTTGCCAGATTTTTATATCGCAGAGACTGTCATGATAACGTTTAGTGCGCGATGTGAATCGCGTAGAGCATTAAGTTTTCATGAGCGGGTAGTTTGAATTCACGCATCAAGAATCGTTAAATATCTTCGTAAGGAGTTGATATCGGTAATTTCCGTTGTGCACATCGTGTTTTACGTGATATTTTGGCTGAGAAATGTGTATCAGAATGTTGAAAGTCGTAACTTGTCTAGTGGTCCATTGAAATAAAATCTACCGACTTTCAATCCTCCAGACGATTTACAAGAGCCTCTCGGATAATTAATTGATGTCAATTTGACGATTAACAGAGACGTCTTTCAATAAAATTTTCCGGTGAGAGGCCTCTGAGCCCACTTTCTCAAAACTTCATTTTTGCACTTACTGCTCTCTTCGCTATCACGGCAGCTATGTTCGTCGAAATCGGGCGCATGCAGGTTAGAGCGCGATCCTTACGAATACTCGACAGTGTTGCCACCTCCAAATCCTTGTTCATGGTTTTGAATACTTCGAGCTTTTTCTGTCTCCCCCCCCCCCCCCCCNGCCATTGTCATCAATGGGATCTTTTCAGGCTCAGATACGTATTGTACCAAGAATTTTAAAATCGAGACAGTTGCAAATTTGGAGCTGTTATAAGTAAAAAATACTGAAATAAAAGTTGGAAACAAGATAAATTTCAAAATCCCGCATTAAATAAGATGAATACCGAGAGGATTGCAGAGGGGAGGGGGAGATTGCTGGCTCTGCAAATGATCACCCGCGGACTGATTATTGAAATTGATGGACAAAGCTAGAAAAAGAAGACATAGGGAGTATGGAGCGATCCTATTGGTTGAAATGGGTGGTTCCAATAGACAAAGGGAGAATATGATAGACTTAATTTTGGTAAAACTCCCTTTATAAAATCGCTTGACAGCATCAATCAACCCCCCGTTAAAATTCGATTTTTCCAAGGCCTCCCAAAGTTTCACCAACGGCACACTGTCATACGCTTTCTGGAGATCCACGAAAATTAAATGCAGCTCCTGAGCTACGGCCATTTTCTTCTCAATGACCTGGACAATAACAAAGAGGTGATCCATCGTAGACCTGCCAGCTCTAAAACCAGCCTGCTCCTCTGCTTCGTGATCCTGCCATTCGTCCCCGATCTTCGCTTTCAGTATCTTCCCGTACACTTTGCTTATTGTCCCGGTCACTGAGAGCCCCAGGGAGTTTTACCAAAATTAAGTATCATGGGGGGTTGTCAGCGGGATTTTATGTGACTAAGGGTTTAAAACAGGGATGTTGTTTGTCGCCAACATTATTTAAAATTTACCTCGAATGTGTGCTAAAGGAATGGAAAAGGAAGTGTTCTGGTATGGGTGTCCCCTTGGGTGATCTTGAAACTCTGTTCACTCTGTGCTTTGCTGATGACCAGGTGGTGGTTGCTCAAGATCAAGAAGACGCGGAGTACATGATGCGCAAGTTAGTAGAAGAATATCGGAAGTGGGGTTTGGAAGTCAGCATATCCAAATCTGAGAAGATGACTTTTGGTGGTGATCAGCAAAGCATTGAGTTGGAGGATGGGCAGCAGATCAAATGCTGCGAGCACTTCAAGTACTTGGGAGTGCGGTTGACCCAGGATGGAAGGACGGATCAAGCTATCAGGGAAAGGAACACCTTAGCAAGGAAGGCTATAGCGATGTTAAATGGAATCCTCTGGGATCAGCGGATTTCCAAAGATAACAAGAGGAGGATATACAACGCTGTAGTAAAAAGTATATTAACATACGGATGTGAAGTTTGGCAGCTGAAGAAACGGACACAGGATATGCTAAGAGCAACGGAGATGGATTTCTGGAGAAGGTCGGCAGGAATTTCTAGGAGAGATCGGGTCCGTAATGATAGAGTGCGTCAGATAATGGAAGTCGAAAATGACATCGTGTTCGACGTCATGACCAAACAACTTGTTTGGTATGGTCATGTCAATAGGATGACGGAAGAGAGGCTGCCAAAAAAGATGCTTGATTGGGTTCCTCCTGGGAGGAGGCGTAGGGGACGCCCAGTGAGAGGTTGGCGACAGGGGGTGTTAAGTGAGATGAGGGAGTGTCAACTCCCTGATAACCTGTGGGAAGACCGAGCTTTGTGGCGATTAGGTGTCGCAAAGCGCCAAAGAGCGCTATAACAGCGACTCGTATGTATGTATGTAGAATATGATAGACTAACTGTCGGGTCTCTCGTGGGTTGCCGGTAGTTAGTCTATTACCCACCTCCCTTTTCCATTGCAACCACCCGTTTCCGCCAATAGGATCTCTCCATATCTCTTTCGTCTTCTTTGTCTATAGCTTTGTCTATCAGTTTCAATAATCGGCCCGCCGCAGTAAACAGCTTTTTCGGCAGTCTCTGATCTCGGCGAGGACGCGAGGAAAACACTCGTGGCGCTAAAAAGTCATCAGCTACTCTGGGTGGAATTTCATTTGGTTTGGTGCAAACTGCTTGTACCTACTAAAATTGACTTCTCATGCGAGAAATTGCACGGAAATGACGATGAACGCGTGAATGCTACTCCGGAATGAATAACTTTCAGATTCCATGACACGATTGCTCTAATTTTTCGCGTCTGCGAACAATTTTTCTTCGTCGATGCACGGCAACCGTGTTCGCCACGAAAAAATGTAAGAAAAAAGGTAATCTCACGGATCGAAATGGCAAAAACAAGAGCTTTGCGACGGCTGAAATCATTTGTACATAAATTAAGGTTATAGGTTTACCTACATCTCGCGCAGAATTGGTTTCCTCCAAAACAAACTCTCAAGAATGAAAAAGCCCTCAAAGTTGAGGACGTAATCGAGAAGCTCGCTTACGTCATGAGAGACATCATCTTTTTATCTAGTCACAATCTTCATGCTAAAGATAGAGGGCGTACATACACAAATGCATAAATACATTAGCGGTGTCGCCAATATTTGGCCCAATTAACTTCTATTGCTGCCGCGCAAATGCCAGCGTATTCGCTCTCTATATCTATGCATGGAAAGTTTTACTGCATGATGTATACAGAGAAGAATTTTATCATAACGTAAGCGAACCCTCAATTACGGCCTCAACTTTGAGAGTTTTTCTTGAGCTTGGGAGTTCGTTTCGATACTCCATATGTCTTTTTTGTCTATAGCTTTGTATATAAATTTCACCAATCAGCACGCTGTTGCGTGTTGGGCTCATCTAAAGCGATTGAACGGATTGAATGGAGATGTTGCATGTGTGAGAAATTTGCAATTTGACTGTTGATTCCTATGTAAAAGTTCGCGAGAAACGCGATGGTGCTACTGGTTTTCTCTGAAATCAACCACCAAGCTCAAAAAAAGCTCTCAAGTTGAGGCCAAAATGGAGAAGATATTCCACGCTGTCCTGAGAGTCCACCTCTACAACTATACAAACTCTCCATGCAAAGATAGGGAGCAAACACATTAGCAGGGCTGCCACTTTATTTGGGAACTCCAAAACTGAAAACACGGCAACCCTGCCAATGTATTTGCTCCCTATCTTTGCATGGAGAGTTTTACTTGATGTAGAGGTGGACTCTCAGGGTAGGGTGGTATATCCTCTCCATTTTGGCCTCACTTTGAGAGCTTTTTTTGAGCTTGGGAGTTGATTTCAGAGAAAACCAGTAACACCATCGTGTTTCTCGCGAACTTTTACACCAGCATCAACGGTCAAATCGCAAATTCCTCACACATGCAACATCTCCATTACGGCTTCAACTTTAAGAGTTTTTCTTGAGCTTGGGAGTTCGTTTCGATACTCCATTTGTCTTTTTTGTCAATAATGGCATTGTATATAAATATCACCAATCAGCATGCTGTTGGGCTCATCTAAAGCGATTGAGCGGACTGAATTGCGCCTGCAAGCTGCGATTTTTGCTACACTCGAAACCCGGGTTTCTAGCGTGACTCATTCTGCCGTGATAGCGAAGTGAGCCGTAAGTGCAAAACAGTGGCGTAGCGTGCTTTGCGACGTATCGATTGTTATGCCATTTAAACCTATGGTAAAGAATCGATTATTAAGGTGTTCGCTGCGAACACCCCGTTTATCGATCCTTTTCCATAGGTTTAAATGACATATCAATCGATATATCGCAATTCACGCCACGCCACTGGTGCCAAAATGAAGTTTTGAGAAAATGGGCTCAGCAGCTGCGGAAATTGTATTGAAAGACAGTGGCGTAGCGTGCTTTGCGACGTATCGATTGTTATGCCATTTAAACCTATGGTAAAGAATCGATTATTAAGGTGTTCGCTGCGAACACCCTGTTTATCGGTCCTTTTCCATAGGTTTAAATGACATATCAATCGATATATCGCAATTCACGCCACGCCACTGGTGCCGAAATGAAGTTTTGAGAAAATGGGCGCAGCAGCTGCGGAAATTGTATTGAAAGACAGTGGCGGAGCGTGCTTTGCGACATATCGATTGCTATGCCATTTAAACCTATGGAAAGGGATCGATAAACAGGGTGTTCGCAGCGAACACCTTAAAAATCGATTATTTACCACAGCTTCAAATGGGAAAATATCGATAGATCGAAAAGCACGCCACGCCACTATTGAAAGAAGCCTCCGTTCTTCGTCAAATTGCCACCCATCATCCGAAAAACTAAGAAATCGCTTGGATGATTGTAAAACGACTAATTTTATTTCAATAATATAAATAGGATATTAAATTATTTATATTTTGGGGTAGTGTTAGGCGAGACAACCGCAAGTGCTATCTTCTGCATGCATTCGTGGTGGGGTTTCCGACACACAAGAAAAATGCATTTTCAGGTTAGAAATTGGCAGGATACGTCGGAAATTCACTTAAAAGCTTTGTTTTCATTGGCTCTCTGAAGGAATATTGCTGGTTACGGTTGTCTTGTGTGAAGCTACGTCATTTTTGCGCACTTGCGGCTTACTCACATGGCTCGTTTTCATAAAAGCAAGACGAATTTTCCAGTTTGAGCATTTTCAGTGATTTTATCCGAAAGTGATCAGACGAATTTTGAGGGAAACTCGATTTCTAAAATTTGATAGTCATGGCTCTCCTCGCTATCGTGGCAGCATCGTCAGTTTGTCTCCCAGAGGTCGGTCCTTTCAACAGCCTGACTTCGGAAAACCTGGGTTACTATACTTTCAATCCAAGTTAATAAGCGCGTTTAGATTTATTGAGCCTGGGTTCACTTTGCGCACAACGGCAATGGGTCAGTTGCGCTGGTTACAAAATCGTATTTTGATTATTGATTCCTTTACATGAGCTAAAAATAATATGATCTGTCCAACCATCAACTTCTACGTTTGATATTAAGCGAGATATCGCCTTTTGAAAAGTCGAGTTTTTGACGTCATCAACCGCGGTAGTGATTATCTTGGTTTCTTCCATCTTGCTTTCATCCGAGTTTAACGTTGAGTAACCAGTGCAAATGCGCGTCACACTGACAGATGAAAGCAAGGTGGAAGAACCCAAAGGGTATCATTACTGCGGAGGATGACGGCATGAACCAAATTTTTCGAAGCGCGATATCTCGGCTAATATTGAACGTGGAAAGTCGCTGTTTAGACAGATATTATTTTTAACTAATCTACAAGAATCAAGCATCAAAACAAGATTCTGAGATCAGTGCCACTGACCCATTAACTCAGCTTGAAACCAGGTTTTCAAAATGCCTAAAAAATACTGCAGGTTTCCCCGATAGTGTTTCGCATAACACGATATCGCAAAACACGCCACGCCACTGCCATGGAATTTACTAATCATCATTGCAAATGCAAGAGGAAAGGGGAACTGGGAGGGGGAAGGAGAGCGAACATTGGCGGATCCAGCAAATTGGCAACATTGTCTTTTCTCTATTTAAACCTGTGGAAATGTATCGATTCTGGGAGGGGCCGTGCTCTCATAAGAATCGATTATTTAGCATAGGTTTAAATGGAGGAAATCCGGTGTTGCCAAATTGCTGGATCCGCCTCTGAGAGCGCAGAAGAAAAGAGAAACTGGTTTGTGACATGATGAGGCGTGACACGCTACCTTCATGATATTATTTTATAGAGTAAAATATTATAGAGTGTGATTTGGTCTTTCTTTTAAATGATTATTTTTCAGACTCGACGATGCCACAAAAAAAGCATCATGAGAAGTTTGAAAATGAACCCATGAGAGATCCCTCTAACACTGTAGTCAGGTTGGGTGTATTCCGTCCAGAAAAAGGTTACTATCACATTCCTATCACTTATTTACTATACTTTTCAAATAAAATAGACATATGTACGGCGTACGTTGCACAAAATATCCAATTTGGAGATCATTATACTTAAGCGTAAAAATTACTTTGAAACAATTTTTTCTTTCGGTTGATTTAAATACTTAATGATCATGGTGTGTTCGACTTACTGAGTTGGTTCAACATTACTACTATGCGATGAATACAAAGTGTTGGATATTAGCTCAACCCTACGCTAAATTTTTGTTCGGATATCTCTGGGAGCTTGCGGCACTCTAGTATGAGATTGGACCACTCACTTGGAACGTTAAACAAATAGGATTGAGTCGGTATATTTTAGTGAATCTTGTGTTATTTAATTAAAAGAGAGAAAATTTTTTTGAAAATTTCTGAAAATTTTTTCGAAAACTTTTCTAATTTTTTTTTTTTAGAATACGGAACCTCTACTCTGTCGTTATATCTGAGGGAGAACGCCGTATGAGCCCTAATACGTTGCCGAATTACCTTCGAAAAAAACGGTTTTGGGGGGAAATTCGTGGATATTTTTCTTTGAAGTTTTCATAGAACTTCATTCCCGGTCGGATCAAATTTACTTGAAAATTTCACGACAAAATATTAAAAAGTCCCCTCGAAAATAAACATTTCGCCAAGAGTTTGGCGATAACTCTTGAATGTTCCTACGGCGCTCCTCCTTAGCACGGCAGTAGTGCCGAATTGCAGTGACGATTCTTGAAAGTTGGCAACACTAATTTCCCTCCATTTAAATGAATGTAAAACAATCTATTCGTGAAGAGGCAGCTTGTATCACGTATAATCGATATTTTAATGGATTGAAGCCGGAGAAACCAGTGTTGTCAACTTGCAGAATCGACACTGCCGGCTTTTGTTTTAACGAAAATGAGCCTTTTACCCACAAAAAATACAACCAAAGTGAGTTCTCTTCACAAATGTAAAGTGCACGAATGTCCATGTGAATAACGAAAGTCCTTGTAAACCAACGCAACGTTTGGGTTAACCACAACTGCCGGCACTTACTCGGTTTTTTTTTTTTTTTTTTTTTTTTTTTTTTTTTTTTTTTTTTTTTTTTTTTACCTCAGATTGCTCCAACTTCAAAATATTAAATGCAGATCTCTTCAATATCTAACTTTTCATTTTATATATTCCATATCTAATCCTTCCGAGCTGTAATTTACCGACTTTCATTTCAAAAATTCAGGTAAGAAGAAGATAACGGAGGAGGAGTGCAAACTGCATTGTGAGACCCATTTTGGTCGGATCATTTCAAATGAAGAGAGAATCGACATCGCAATTCCCAAGTTGATAAATAGTGATACAGTATGTCGCTGTGAGCTGAATATTGAGCGCCTGGAGCCAATACTGAAGGATGAAAAACAGTACGCCAAGGATAAAAAACATAGAAAGGCGAATTTCTCGAACTTCATCGATGCTGTTGATAAAAACCGGTACGGGAAATTCTGCGCTGCGAAACACTGGTTGTCTACAGTTGGGAAGATGAAAGTTGAAATTGGGTACGAATCGGACGCCAAAGATCAAAAGCCGTTGACTCGTCACCAAAACCCCAACCAAACACCGGATCGAACTCTTGGATCAGATTCATCAACGGTAAACACCCGAACTCATCATCAGGATGCTAACCGAACACCGAATCGAGACTTTGTACCACCGGGAGATTCGAGAAAAACTTTTGGGGAAGTTCTTTTGGGGACGTTTCAGTCGACAGGTCAGTAGACTTTAGAAATCTTTTCAGTGGTGATATTCTTGCTGTGGTTTCCGGAGAAGATTTTTAAGAGAATCCTTCATTTAAAGACAGTTTGCACAGTGGCGTGGAGTGCTTTGCGATATATCGAATGATCTGCCATATAAACGTACGGAAAAGTATCGATAAACAGGGTGTTCGCAGCAAACACCTTAATAATTGATTATTTACGACAGCTTCAATAAGGGAAATATCTATAGATCGAAAAGCACGCCATGCCACTGAATTTTCGGCTCCATATTTTTGGAGGAGAAAACGGTTTTACACTGAAAGGTTTTTCTAGAATCATCACTGTGAGAGATTTTTTTTTTTTTAAAATTCAAATTACTATGTTTTAATACGAAGAAAAGTAAAATCGCCATCGATGACAAAGGTACATTTCTTTGGATTAAGAAAAAAAGAGGAAAAAACTCGGCCGCATTGGAATTTTTTTTTAAAAAAAAACCTCTCACTCAAAAACTTTTTCTTTGAGTAAGATATTTCTCTTGAAATCCTGAAATCCTTCCGTAAATACATTTTATCCGTCAGTACACGCAATCCCATAATGTAGGAAGATGTTCCCATTTTCTGCAGGTTTCCGTCATGACAGGTGGCGTGGCGTGAATGATCGATAATTGCTAGTTCCCCATGTGAAGCTATGGTAAAGAATCGATTATTGAGGTGATCTTTACGAACACCTTGTTTGTTGATCTTTTCCCATAGGTTTAAATGACGGACAACCGATAAATCGGATAGCATGCCACGCAACTGGTCATGAGCAGGTAGGTATATATTTGCTGAATTTGTCACAGCAAATCTACGGGAAACAATTCCCTTCAGATCGTCTTTCTGCTTGAAGAAGGTTTTGTTATGACCAGATTTCATTCTACAGCGGCATCTCCTTATAACGTAATCTCAAGGGGCGGAGCAGTGGCGTGGCAAGCTTTCGGATATATCGATTGATCTACCATTTAAATCTATGGAAAAGGATCGATTAAGAGGGTGCTCGCAAGGAACACCTGAATAATCTATTCTTTATACCATAGCTCTGTATAAGAAAATATTGATAATCGATCATTCACGTTTCGCCTCTTATGAGCAGGTCCATTCTCAGGCATTTTTCCACAAAAATACAACGGGGAAAATTTCAGTTGCGCTCTGTTTTTCGCCACACAGTGAGAAAAAGTGAGAAAAACTTTGTATCAAAATGGGGAGAAAAACCCAAAATAACACAACCCTATTTGTTTAATATCTTTTGAATAGTTTTATTTATTTATTTATTTATTTTTAGTGACAAAATCTTTTAGATAGCATAACCCAACCGTCCTTCGATTTCTAATTTCAAACCCGCCAAAACTTGCCAGGCACTGCCTGCAGCTAGGCTCAAACTCGAATCTTACAATTGATAACCAGTTCCGTGGCATAAATGATCGATTATATTATCGATCTCTTCTCAATAGAAGCTGCGGCAAAGAATCGATTATTATCAAGGTATTCGTTGCGAGCACCCTGATCAACGCTCCTTTTTCATAGGTTTAAATGGCAGATCAACAGTAGCGTGGCGTGAATTGCGATGTATCGATTGTTATGCCATGTAAACCTATGGTAAAGAATCTATTATTAAGGTATTCGTTGCGAGCACCCTGATCATCGCTCCTTTTCCATAGGTTTAAATGACATGGCAATCGATATATTGCAAAGCACGCCACTGCAGCTCAATCGATACATCGCAAGGCACGCCGCCATCCGCTGTCACTCGCAAGTCGCAACCGCAGACCGGAAATAGGAAATAGTGTATTTCCTTCGGAAAATACACTACAAACGTGAGCACATTATATTTATTAGGTACACGGGTGAAACTAGGAACATTTCGTTGGAGGGGTCCAGAAGGACATCACAACAAGGGGGGGGGGGGTCTGAGGGCACCATAAGACACTCCACCCAAAGGGATCTGTGTGACTCGCCCAGCTCCGAAGGCTAGTTTGAGGGACTTCTCCAGCTCCGAAAGGAGATTCAGGATCCTCCTTGGGAAAATTTTGAAAAATTGAGTCGTGTCCGCAGCAACTTTTGGCTATTCTCACTAAAAAATTGACTGAATTACAGTTTGAAAGATGCGAGATATTTCATTCACTTATTTAGCAAAATCCTTCAAATTTCTTGGGAGGGGCCGAGTGGATTTCTGAAGGGGTATAGAGCCCCCCTCCCCGCCCCCGCTTAGCCTGTTGTTAGGCAATACAGGACACTTTATTAATTCACAGGTGTCTCAGAGTAACTTCAGATTTTGCTTAATCTAATCAAAAATTTACTTTAACAACCAAATCGTTTGGTTGATCCACCCGAAAGAAAAATAACCCGACGTAACCAAATTTTGTAACTGAATTAAAATTTTCCATGATGACTAGATGTTCATCAGGATGATCCAGGAAAAAATTAACGGTCTCGGATTTAGGTTCTCAGTGACAATTCTAGTAAAAAGGTGACAAAAAGTGAGCTGAGAAAAACTTCGGGTCGATCCGTTAATTTTTGGAGGGTGCGCATCCCTCCTTGTAGATAAAAGTCGTAGTTTATTCTCGTATTTTCACTTTCGGACAATTAATTTTAACACAATTTGTGTATTTAGAATATGGACGCTCAGTAGAACATCTAAAGATCAGAATACAAAAATAGAGCTGTGCAAAATTTGGGCACAATCGGATTATATACCTCCCTTATACGTGAAAAAGCGCCGGCTTGGCGCGTTCTTCCACAGATTCATGTCCGCTCGGTGCTGAAAAACTTCGTTTTTTCGCGTGTATGAGAAGAGGGTACCCTCTAATAATAATCCTCTAATAATAATTTGATCATGCTCAAAATGTGCACAGCTCTTCTTTGGTATTCCGCTTTTTAGATTTTTGGGAGCCGATATTTCAAAAACACAGTGTTTTAAAATTGTTCGAAAATTTAAACACAAAAAATCAAGTTTTTCATCTAAAAAGGGGCGGGGGTGCGCAACTGTGCACCCTCCGAAAATTAATGGATCGACTCGGAATTTTTTGGTTCCGTTCTTGTCACTTTTCCACTAGAATTTTTACCAAGAGGTAAAATCCGAGACCCCTAAATCCTAAAATCACCCGACAGTTCATTGTAACCGGTTATTTGCATTGGATTTCAGGGGAAGCTTTCACGGAGAGGAGCTGTGCAAATCGTTGCTTACACACGTTCGGGCAACTTTTTGAGGAGGATTCTCAGTCATGGAAACCCATCACTGAAAAGAGGTTGTCTCGGGATGGGGAGATCTGCGATTGTTTATTGTACAAAGATATGGTTTGGAAAGGCTGCTCTTATCTTAGGAAGAAGATAAAGATCGACTGCAATGAAGTGATCCAGGCATTTTTAAACTTCGACTTCTGTGAAGGGAAACTTCATGCTCAGAAGAATCACTTCGACATTGTTCTTGGATATGAATACAACGCCGTACCACATGAACGCGAGAAAAATATAATACACCCCTTAGAAGAGGTTCCACTTGATGACAAGCCCGAAGAGGCATCTGCTAAACATGTAAACGGGGATAAAAACATCGTCTTCACGATTCCTGAAAAAGGTAAGTGGAAGTATTCATTAGACAGTGTCGTACAAATGAAAAAAAAAAGAAGAAGGAGAAAATAAAAACACTAAGAAGTGGCCCGGACTGTATGTAACGAGGTGGAGAAATGGTGCTGGGTCCACATCTTTTCGCGGGGAACACAGCCAAGAAATTCCAAAAATTAGAATTAGAGTCATAATCAAATTTTTTGAACTCTAATGCGCACCAGTACGTAACTGAGGGGGGAGAGTGTTCAGCTCAGGCAGTTTGCATTGGAATGTTAAGTTGGAGTCACGCCGAGAGATCTATACCAGTTTGGGCCTCATAAAACCTCATCATTTAGATCACACTCGCCAGTGAACCCATCATTAACATGCCGCAAAATCCAAAACGGCATTAAAACGCCGTCATGGATATGACCCGAGGCATGACACAAGTGTGATCCTCGCGCCACCTACCGTCGCTGCTGAACAACTCTCATAACAAAACAAGGATAACCCGAAAAATGATTGATGATTTTTGGAATTTAATGGCTTTGTTTCCCCGCGAAATGGTGTGGACCCAGCACCATTTCTCCACCTTGTTACAGACAGTGTCGTATTTATACCCAGTAAGAAAAAGTAACCAAAATGTTGTGTAAATGTTGTCTAATTGGAATTAGAACATGAAGTAACCTGAAAGCGCGGGTAATATTTTTTGGGTGGTTTTTTGGGGTTACATTGACCAAATCTTATGGTTGAAAAATTGGATTGACATCAGTGGCGTGGCGTGCTTTGCGATGTATCGATTGTTCTTCCATTTAAACCTATGGAAAAGGATCGATTATTAGGGTGTTCGCAGCGAACACCTTAATAATCGATTCTTTACCATAGGTTTAAATGGCAGAACAATCGATACATCGCACTTTACGCCACGCCACTGATTGACATCGAGAGGAACAAGAGTGCATTGTTCAGCGGGCCACTATCTTCATCCCCACATATTTCAGAATAATTTCGGTTTTGCTTAATTCAACCAAAAATTTGGTCGATCAACCGTCCTTTTGGGTGATCTGAACGAAAGAAATGTAACTCAAAGTAACCATCAACACGGAATCTTTCAAAGGATTATTCTGAAAGATAGTATTTAAAAAAAAGGTATTAAAAATATAAAATTAAAAAATATGTTGTTAAAAATAAAATAAAAAATATTATTTATCTCGCAAAATTAGGCTCCACGGCTCGTCCAGAATATACTCGTTGGCAACAAAGTATTGGTTGATGGGACTTTTTGATAGATCTCTGATGCACATAATAGATCTCTTTATTTTTCTTTTTTACGGAGCAGCTTGTCATTTTCGCACCCAACTCTTTGTGCGTTTCTCCCTCTCCTCGAAAGCAGTAGCGGGGCGTGATTTGCGATATATCGACTGATCTGTCTTTTTTCGTACGGAAAAGGATCGATAAACAGGGTGTTATGTACGAACGCACCTTAATAATCGATTTTTTTACCATGGCTTCAAACGAGAAAATAATGATGATCGATAATTCACGCCTCGCCGCTGCTTCCAAGTCTCGCCTTTTACCCACTACGCTGAATTTTTCATTTTTCGACAAAATTAAAAGGATCTTACTGGCTGACATGTTTCTCGGGTTCATCATATTTTCAGGCTTTTAGTTTTTCAAAGAAGTATTTTAGGTCACAAGCTCAGGCTCGGTTCTTCTGGAAATAATGGCGCCTGGATACTTTTAGTTGTCTTGATTTTAATTCAATTGTTTCGTGTTGTTTCCAGTGGCGTGGCGGATCGATTATCGACATTTTCTCATTTGTAGCTATGGTAAAGAATCGATTATTAAGGTGTTCTCTGCGAACACCCTGTTTATCGATCCTTTTCCATAGGTTTAAATGGCAGATCAATCGATATATATATCGCCACGCCACTGGTTGTTTCCCATTTCACACATCTACAAATTATTTCAATACGTTCAGTTTTGCAACTTTCACTCCCTACGATTGATCACTTTTGAACTTGTAATGGACCACTAGACAAGGTACGAATTTCAGCATTCTGATACATGTTCCTTAACCAAAATTTCACGTAAAACACGATACGCACAACGGAAATTATTGAAATCAACTCCTTACAAAGATATTTAATGATTCTTGATGCGTGAATTCAAACCACCCGCTCATGAAAACTCAATGCTCTACGTGAATCACATCGCGCGCTAAACGTGTATCATGACAATCTCTGCAATATAAAAATCTGGCAACCTCAATCTTGACGCTTTGGCTCAGCTGTAGCAAATAGCTTATAGTTTGAACAACACATGATGGGAAATGAACATTGCTCGATAGAGAAGATTGCCGAAACCGTTGCAGTGCGCGATTTGACACGCGCAGAGCTTTGAGTTTCTTGTGAGCGGGCAGTTCAAATTACTCGTAACCAATGTGAAATAAAAACGTTAATACCTTCGTTAGGAGTTGCTTTTAGTAATTTTCATTGCGCAAATCGTGTTCTACGTGAAATTTCGGTCAAGAAACATGCATCAGAATGCTTAAATTCGTACCTTGTCTAGTGGTCCATCGGCGTAAAATTGCCCTGATTTTCCAGAAGTTTCTACATCCCCTCCACGCCCCCCCCCTCCCGCCACCTCAGACGGCCAGGGAGCGACGCTCTCAAATGTGAACCAATCCGGTCCTGCACGAAGGCCGAAGGGTCCTCTTTCTAGTGGACAGTTTTATTTCCTTCACCACTTTCTACATTTCACTATCATAAGTTCACTCGTTCATCATTGCTGAAAATACATTGCGTGGAGATAATTTCCTCTCGTCTTTTTTTCCAGAGGCTCGGGTTTCATTATTCACGGACGAAAGCTGCACGAAGAAATGCAACACCTTGTTCGGTTACGTTATTTTGTTTCCGGGAGAAGAAAAAACTACTTTCACCGAAGGGCGGTTGTCAGGCGATCGGAGAAAATGTCAATGCTTTTTGAATGCCTCTGCTTTTGAAAAACGACTCGTGGAGATTAAAAAAGAAAATAAAGAAGAAGATAAACAGGAAGCTACAAAAGAAGATAGAAAGGCTTTTAACAAGTTTTTACAGGAATGTACTTTTAACGAAGGATACAAGTGGGCGGTGAAATATTTTACAAGACGTCCGGAGCTCAAAGTAACCGTCGAAATTGGATCGGCAATTGATAAATCAGACCGTCATGAAATACTTGAAGAGAAGAAAAAGTTCGACGAGGCCTACGCAAAAAAGTTGATTGACGGCAAGCTTAAAATGGCAACCTTCACACGAAGTAAGTATATTCTCTGTGTGTGCTCTTGCAAGTAGCAACTTGGCGAGGCGTGAATAATCGATTATCGATATTTCCCCATTTGCAGCCATGGTAAAGAATCGATTTTTAAGGTGTTCGTTGCGGACATTCTGTTGATCGATCCTTTTCCATAGATTTAAATGGCAGATCGATCGATTAATTGCAAAGCTTGCCACGCCACTGAGTATCAGTGTAGAAACTGACGATGAAATCTATACTTTAAGCTCCGAAACCTCCTAATTTTGCGTAACTGGTAACGCTTAGTTCCAGCGTTCTACCGGGCCGATTTTCATGATTTTTGCGGCTATCGACGGGCAATTGTTTCTAGATGAGCCCGCTTTATTCAGATTTTCTAAATATGATCCAGGTTTTTTAGTATTACGTGGTAAAGTTGCGAATTTTCCCATTTAAACAATGTAAATTTATGTTTTTTGTCATAGTTCGTTTGAGCGTTCTACCGGGCCGATTTCCATGCTTTTTACGGGTATCAACATGCAGGTGGTAGGCCCCAAATGAGCCCGCTTTAATCAGATTTTGGAAGTAGGACCCAGGTTTTTTTTACAATCAAGTTATAAAATATAAAAGTGAGCGAATTTACAGAACGCTCCGCTCCTGCTGCCGCTATGCGCAGAAGGTTGCGCAGTGAGCGAGCAGCAAGATTCGCCGTGACCGTTTCAACATGCACTGAAAAAAAAGTCTCGGTGAATTTACTACGAAAAGGGTAAAATTACCAAGAATTCAGGGTTCTATTTGATCCCAGTTTTTTCTTGGTAAAATTCCCAATTATGGAATTGGTAATTTTACCAAGAAATCTCGGTAAAATTATTGAACTTACTCGGTAATTTTACTGGACCTTGGTAAAAACGCCAATATTTTTTGTCGACTGTGGTAGAATTACCGAGATAAAATGGCAAAGTTACCGGGAATTGATTACCAATAAAAGTGGTATTCTTACCTGAAAAAAACAGTAAAAATACCGGTTTTTAGGTAAGCTTACCAGTCTGTCTTGGTAAAATTACCAATAATTGGTAAAAAAGTGAGATGGTAAAGGTACCAACGGACTTTGGTAAAAACGTGGAGAATTTTTTTTCAGTGTGTGCGGTGGTCGAGTCGTCTTTTAGACGTCGGAAATGCCCATACGTCTCAAGATGTGGGTTCAATTCCCGACTCCTCGGCTGCTTTAATTATGATCTGAGTATCGTCAATCGTTGTTTTACTGCAATGTTTCATTAATCAGTCATTGCAAAACGCGTCTTTTCGACTTCAATTTTTTTTCTTTATTCATCAAAAACAAAAATCATTTCCTTCTAAAAGTAAAGTATACCTCATATCGTAATTTTTTAGGGGAAAAATAAAACCAACATTGATAGGAGGCTAAAAATAGGGCCCACTGATGGCGCCTTCAGGGGGTTGGACCGCGTAGCGGTTAGGGGGCGTAGCCCCATTGTATATATATAATATTAGAGTAGCCCCATCCCCTCTAACTTTTTACCTATTGTAAAAGAGACTAAAATTTGAATCTTAGGAGACGTTTCTAGGACAAAGAGAGCAACTTTTTGGCCCTCCTAAAATTTTTAATTTTTAATATATTCGTGATCAGTATAATTTTTATGCCACGAGGATATACTTTTTTTTCTTTTTCCAAATACCCGTTGATCGGTCTAAAACGAAGGTTAATTCGACCGAAAAGGATCTGTGCCATGAGAACTACACATAGTATTTAAGTTGTCAACGTTCGATAAACTTTTCTTGGTAACTAGGGATATCCCTCCGGGTGGTTGACATTATTTCTCATTCGTTGGACAGTGGACACACAACTTCAATCCTGAGAAAGACCTTTTGCGCTATCCGAGATATTTGTATTTAAAAATTGGTTAAAATCAGGTTACTTAAACTCAGCATTTTAGTCGCAATATTGAGTTTCATAACGGCTAAATGCGTGCATCTTGTGCATAGCCACATTTGACCCATTGTGCCAGCTCTCGCATGCTGGAAGAGTCAAAATCCTTTGAACAAAGATTCAGTGGGGCTTTATTAAATATCCCATGCCTTTTGTGGTTCCGTAAGTCTATTTTTACGGTGCTTTTGATTTTTGTCTACACCGCTTATGGGAGTTCCGCACAGTGCGACGGGGTCCCCTGAAGATTTGAGGAGGCCTAAAAATGCTCTCTTTGGCCTACTAACGTTTCCCAAGTTTCAAATCTATACCTCCATTAAGCAGAGGCGGATCCAGCAATTTGGCAACACCGGATTTCCTCCATACACAATTCATCACCACCAAACCGGGATTCAAACCCGGGACTTGATCTGATGTCCTCAACTGAGATTTTGGGAAAATGGGGCATCCTCAGAAAAAACTCCGGGAATTTTGAAGTCAGAAGAAAGTGGCTTCCCTAATTGAATCGGCTCGTGCGAAAATGTCCGTTGTGCCGGAAATGTCATTAAAACAATTGATTCCGTTTGAAGCATCAATTGTACACTAGCGGAAAGCTATTTTAAAATAATAATTGTAAATGGACACAGATGTACAGAAAGGGAAAAAGGAAAGGGAAAGGGAAAGGAAATGAAATGAGGATATGATTACTAATATGCAATCAGAGAGAATAAAACAAAAACATCAGAGAAAATATGCGATGAAAATGTAAGAAAAAAACACGAGTGGGTTAATTGCGATTCGGAACTCGAACTATACTATCGTTGATCAGTTTTTGGACCCCTACGCCACCGATAATCTTCTTAAGAGGTAAAGATGAACTTTTGCTACTTCAGCGAGTCAAATCGCGGAAGGAGATCCATGGATTGTCTTTTTCCGCCACCCAATGGGATGACGTTCCAGTCAAATGCGTTTTTGAAGAAATGATCGATCCCCATCATCGCTTCATCTTCACACATCTATTCATGTGCAAATGATGGCATGCTCCGGCAACAAGGTTCTGTGACGAAATCATTTTTGCCTCCAGAGTCTCCAAAATGTATACATCTTAGTGATCAAACGATCAGCCGAATGTCACTCGCATAGCGAGTGATCGGGGGTCCAGGGGGCGCAGCCCCTTGGCTGG